CTGCACTCATGTGCAGGCTGGTCTGGTTCTGTCTCCATGCTTGGTAACACTGAGAGTCCTTGTCTGTGTTTTTGGGTAAATCCAGGTGCTGTACATAACCAAATGCAATTTTTCAGAGTGTGACAGTGGACATGTACAGCTTGACACATGCTGCTTTTTAATTTTTAGTATTCCCACATACAAAGACATACTGAAGACTTAAATTAATTGCTTTTGAAAGGTTCCAATTGTGGAAATTTTGTCTACTTAAGAATAACAATGAGACAAATATAAATTATGTTGAAAAGAATAACACCACAAAAAGCTTTGGAGTGTATTCCTACTGATGGACAAATTAGCTTTTGAAGCAGCTTTACACAGATCACTTAAGTACAGTAGATGAAAAGCAAATGTAAGTCCCTCGAGGCCTCACTATTTACACCACAATGAGTAGCTATGGAAATGTCAATGCAAAATGTGATTGTAATACAGCGTTGCTACTGAGACATCTTTTGTATGCTAATCGAAACGTTTTGGAAGCCATAAAGGCAAGTAACTGTAGCAGTTCCCCTTTCTGAAAGGGTGTAATGGCTCAGGAAGACTGGGAAAGATGTGCTCTCAGGTCCTTGTTATTGCTTACCTTGCTCTTTTGAGCACTCTTATGCCAGTCCAGCCAGTGGAAGGTGCTTATCAGTTTAGATGACAGTGCAGGATCAAACCTTGAGTGGTTTTTACAAAATGCTGTGTTGGACAGGTGTATTTTGGCTGGATTTATCCTGTCTGTCTATCCTGTCTATCTATATATATTGACTTGATCAAGAAAGGAAATATCTGAACAAAACAGAGCTGACAGAAGTAAACCTGAAGTAAACTGTTGCAAAGGAAATGAAAACCAACATTATTGAAAGAGTCCAGCACAAAGCCACAAAGATGATTAAGGGAGTGGAACATCTCCTTGATGAGAAAAGGCTGAGGGAGCTGGGTTTCTTTAGCTTGGAGAAGAGGAGACTGAGGGGTCACCTCATCAATGTTTACAAATATGTAAGGGGTGAGTGTCAGGAGGATGGAGCCAGGCTTTTTTCGGTGAAGATCAGTGAAAGGACAAGGGGCAATGGATGCACACTGGAGCATAGGAGGTTCCATGTGAATATCAGGAAGAACTAACTGCTTTACTGTGAGAGTGACAGAGCCCTGGAACAGGCTGCCCAGAGAGGTTGTGGAGTCTCCTTTGCTGGAGACATTCAATACCCGCCTGGACAAGCTCCTGTGTGATGTGCTCTAGGTGATCCTGCTCTGGCAGGGGGATTGGACTAGATGATCTTTCCAGGTCCCTTCCAACCCCTAGGATTCTGTGATTCTGTGATTATTTCAGTTATATACATAAATTAAACAAAACCATTAAGCATATTGAGTACTAAGAGTTGGACTCAGAAAGGTTGCTCTGAGGTGTTTCAATTCTGTGTTTCTGTGTTCCTCTTTTCCCATCCAGGATGGGTGGAGCAACTTTTTGGGGATGACTGGAATTTATTTTGCTCAGAGGCAAGGAGAACTTTATGATAGCACTTGTTTATTGTAGCCGTGCATTCCTTGTTAATTCCCTCCTGTCTTCATCACTTTCTACTTCTTCAGTTCCTTGTCCATCTTTGGGATCCATTGCAGCCTTCCCTTGTCTTTGTTTTGAGAGCCTTCAGGAAAAGCACATCTGTTGTGGCATCTCTGCATAGAATTCTGCACTGTGATACTCTCACCCTTGGAAATTATTTGAAGTGTGCTGTTTGCAGAGCACTCTTTTTTGATCTGTAGAGCAGAGGAGATTGGCTGTGTCGTTCCACACTGCAGGATCCTAAGAGTATTTTAGTGCCATTAGGCAATAAAAAGTTTTATATACATTGAGCAGTCTTTCACAAGCAAGTGTTTCTGTCAAACTAGAACAGAACCTGGGTCCTAGAATAGGAAAGACTAATTTGCAATGAAATAAAAACCTGCTTTGAACAAAGCAAAGGCAGTAAGGCTTTAACCTTACCCTTGTAATTCAAGCTATAAAACTTTATGGATTTGATTCAAACTGCTGGAAAATATGTGCTTAATCTGGAGTGTGTCCCTCATAAATGTTAACTAGTGCCATGGCCAGACTTCATGATGTCACTTGGCTCAAGGTTGCAATGATATCCTGGTAGCAGGACCCTCTGACTGGTTCTTTTGTGCAGAATCTGTTCAGATCTAGGTTCCTATAGATCAAATTACCTCTTTATTTTTTCCCTGAGAGAGAATTATTACATGCATTGTTCTGTAGTGAAAATGGCTAAAGTTTGCTTCCTGCTTTTTAGTCAGTGTTTTTTTTCTTTAAAAAAAAAGTTCCGTTTTCTGCATCTCCCCAGTTGTGCGTGCAGAGATCTGTGGAATGGCGAGATGTAGTTCCCGTTTTGTTGCACATTGTAGCTCATGCAGACGCAGCGTTCAGGGTTCATGTTCATGCAGGAAGCCATCTGTGTCAGATAGCTATTCCCTTCCCTTTGGCCAAACAGTGCTGAGTACCCCTTGTTTGTGCTGGCCTGAGCCTGTCTCCTCCAAGGTGATTTGGCAGTTGATTCTCTCTGTAGAACATGGAGCAATCCCGGAATTTCCACATGGCCTGCATGCCCTGCTCGTGCCCTCCACCCCAGCTCTGCAGTGTCCTATAATTAACATTCATTTCCTGGGCTGCACGTGACCTTGCTAGCAGGATTCATGAGCTGGGGCTGTGTCCTGTGAGTGTTGGCAACATGATCTCTGTGGGTATCAGTCATCTCCAAGATCTGTTGGTTTGAAGGACGTAGGATCCTAGGTAATGATGTGGGGTGCTTAATTGTCTTGTCTGCATAGAGCAATTCAACTTGGTGAGCAAAGTGGATTTGGAACATGGCTGACTGGGGTGGTGGTGGTGTCAACACCCGTTAAAGGTACTGGGTGCCAGGTAATGATGTGGAGTGTTTAATTGCTAGACTGATTTGCTGCAAATCATAGCTGAGAGCAAACGTGGCTGACTGGAGTGATGGTGTCAACACCCAGTTTGCTCTGCAGTGCTGTTTTTATTCAGTAGTGTAAATACAGCCAGTAAAGACAAAGTATTGCTTTGAGAAAATTGTGAGCTTGTCAGTCTTGATATGTTCCTTGTGACCTTGTATGCTGTCAGGCTGTGGAAGACTGGGGCTGGCTTTGATTTCCAGCTGAACTGCTAGCATTCTGGGGGGACCTTAGGGTATCACAGCCCTTGAGTTTTGGTTTGTCCTGTTCCAAGACAAGCATAACGATACTGACCTTGGTTTGTGTCTTAAACAATGTGCTGCTTTGTGATGAAGGCCTACAGATGGGTGTGACAGCTCAGAGATTCTGTGCAATTCAGAAGTACAGCTATATGTGGGAAATCTGATGTTTCAGTAGTATCATAATCAAGTTCTCTTAGCAAAAAACATTAGTTGTTTTTTTCCTTTCCCTGTTCTGTGGGTTATGACCAATTTAAAGTGACACTAAAAAGCATCACTTCACTGTGGTCTGCTCTTCAAAGGACTTAAGATACTGGTGTTGATCTTTATTTCTGTGTCCCACCCTGTCTCAGTGGTTTGCAGCTTTTGACCGTCTATATAAAATTTGATACTGAGAAGTGGTGTGTGACTGGAAAGAGAGACAGTCATTGTGTCATCTCCTGAATTAGGTATCCTTGCAATTTCAGTGGGCTGGATATGAGATCTGGAGGGGACACTTGTCTCATTAACACCTTCCTCCTAATGTTTAAGAACATCAGTTGTTTGTTCCAACAAACAGTGTTTTGAACTGGTGATACAGGTTAGTTCAAATGGGTCATAATGCCATAGACAATAAAAGCAGGTAGAGCAGAAAAGAGCATGTAGAAAATCTTCCCTAGAGAAAAGCCTTCCCTTTGCCCTGCTTTTTTAAAAAACAATCCTTGTGACAGCTCTTGGCAAGAGAACAGAAGAGCATGAACATCTTTGCAGTGGAGAGCAGAAGGGGGTTAAGCATTGAGATCAAAGGGAACGAGTAGGCTGAAATCCTCCATTGTGGAGGATCAGGCTGCACCCTTCCATGGTTGGCTGAACAAAGGGAGTGCTGCTTTGGGAGGCTGGTAAGGCAGGAAAAACCTTACCTGTATCCCTTCTCCTTCCAGGGCAAAACTAGCAGGCTTGTATGGGTGGGCTTTGCATGGTGTTTCCTTGTTTGCTCACATCTTCGTTTAATGGCAGCAGCCTGTGAGAAGTTGATGAGCTAGCCTGCATTTTTCTTTCCAAACTGTGAGAGCTTACAAACAGTGAGCTCTGAGGTTACTTCTAGGTTAGCTAATGATCAGTGACTTGCTCATCAGTGAGGAAGCACTTGCTCCTGCTGAGTTCACAATGGTTGTGGGAGGAGAGCTGCTGCTGGCACAGCAACTGCCCTTGTGCTGGCAGCCTCCTTGACTTGTTATCTGCCAGACAAAGTTTCCTGCACATTGTCTTTGCTGATGAAGTTGCTGACTATGTTGTTGGGGCTTCTGAAGAGGTCAGCAGTAGATTCAGACTGATGATGAGACAGATCTGCTTAACCTCAGAGTTGATTTGAGATTTGGACATCAGTTTTGAGGATAGGATCAAGGCAATGTTGTACTTGGACACTTTGATTCAGGGATCCTGAACACCCTTCAGCATACTGTATAGATTTTTTCCTGTCTGGGGTCTAATAATTCTCAAATAAAATTGTGTTTTGCAGTAGCTGATATAATTGCAATTTTTAGACGTTAGGCTTAAGAAGAATGCAAAGACATTTTGCCTATACCTGGCAACAATTACCTATTTTTAGAATCATGTCCCAGTAGTGCAGCTGAAATGAGTATGTTCCTGATCCCAAGGAGGTCAGGTATGATTCACTATTCCTGACATGACAACCAAGAGTCACAGTCTTTTCTGGGAGACAGAGTAGGTTAACTGTCATTGGATGTCCTATGAACTTTTTTCCATTCAGAAATTACACTAATTTTATCCTCTTTTTTTGCAGCAATGCTGAGTGACAATAACTCTGTGAAGCTGAAAAGTGATTGTTCACCCCCTGTGCAATGGTGTGAGGTGGCTGCACATAAAGATGAGAAGACCAAGCTGGTTTTTAAAAGGTACTCGCAAGTAAGTGTCATTATCATGGCAATACAGAGGTTACTTGCTCTCAAAGGATGTAAAAATCAAGGGATGAGATTGCTACAGGATGTGAATGGAGTGTTAGACACACAGCTTTCCCTGGGGCACCAGAGCACTTGGAGGAGCCTAGGCTGTCTTTTAATAGTACCTGTTTTTCCAAGGCAATGTGAGATCCCTGTACTTCACTCACAGGTATTTCTAATCTTTTTTATATACAGATAAGTAACAATGCCAAGGCTTTTGTACAGTCTGATAATTGAAGAAATTGAAGGACGATGGATGTTCAGTAGGTATTTTGGGAGGTGTTGCCTCAGTTCATTAGTTGAAGATTTCTGGAATGCTGCATCTCTAAATCTTTACTCCATTGTTTTAGTTTAACGTCAAATTGGAATTAGTGAGCGTGTGCTAGTGTTTTCAACCCGAAAAGCTCACTACTCTGATGCCTCTTTGCCACATGAATTTTTAGGTCTTAAAGCTTAAAAAACCCAGAGCCAAACTGTTACACTAGTATTTTGAGCACCTTAATGCTGCAGCCCCATCTGGATCTAGAGACATTTGATAAATCTCTGGAGGAAGAACAGCTTCATTCATGTATTGTGAATCCTCTATTTCTTCCACTCAGCCAATTTCCAGGGGGTGCAGCCTAACATGATAATGAAGACCCCCTATCAGTGTAAAATTTAATTTAGTTAAATCAGATGCAAGATGCAAGAACAGTGCTTTTCAGGTGGCCACCTTGTTTGCAGCACATACTGCAAATTAAGTACCAGGCTTGCATCTGTTGTCCCATATGGTACAAACAAAAAAAATAATCTCTAAAAGCTGTATTAACTTAATCTGAAAGAGATTCAAGAAGCACTGAACACTTTTAGTAGGTTGTATATTGTTTTAAGATATCTAAGCAAACATCCAGTCCTTAGGAAACAATAGGAAGTAAAAATCAATACTAAAGCTCAAACTACATGCTTGAGCAACATCACAACTCTAAACAAATAATGACGTGATTTTTGCAAGTCAGTTTAGACACGAAATGAGCCAAGCAAATATTTTGAGGTAAACAGTGAAATTCCTTAGGTATGAGAAATTAGTAGACAAAAAGTACAGATAGCCGGTATTGCTCAATTTTAAAGTTTGGATGTTTTTAGGATGTAAATAATTAAATTAGGCTTCTCAAGATAAACCTGAGCATCTAAATTCTTCATCCTAGCTTGCCAGTGAGTTAAAAGTTTTCCATGTGTGTGGTGGCCATAGGTACAAAATCTTGCAATTGGAAGTTCCATCCTTTTTTAACTTGCATTAAAATGGGTATTTCAAAATAGAGTTGCCCTTTGAAGTAGAAAAATTAAAGTAATTTTTGGTTTCTGCATGTGAGGAAAGCTGTTTGACCCATCAGCATTGCATTTAAAGTATGTGTGTGTATATATATGATGCAGGCATAAAACTGCATAAATCAAACTGTCAATATGCAATGTTTTCCTTATCAAAGCATCTGTATATGTTCATACTTTCCTACAGATAACTCTTAAGACTTACGAAAGACTTGCAGCAAAAAAAAAAGCAATAGTTTTTCTTGATTTTAATAAAATGCAAATATTCACCTGCAGTTCAACTGTCTTCAACTTGTTTAAGAATAATCACTTAACAGTTGATTGATTGCTGGAAAAAAGGTAATTGTTGTTCCTCTCTCTTACCCCTACACCTTCCTGTTTGTTTTTAGACTTCTTGCACTGTTTGTGGTTGGAGGCTGCTTCCTTTATATCCTCAAATTACATTTTGGCCCTGAAGAATGTGACAGAACAAAAATGCCCTATGTGGACCTCGATCGTGTAAGGGTTGGTATTTTTTGGCATTTTTTTACTTGGCTTAAAAATAAATTCATTAATTGATAATACAATAGTTAAAAGGGTCTATAACAAAGGACTAGAATGCTGAAATTATCATAGAATCACAGACTGGTTTGGAAGGAACCTTCAAGATCATCTTGTTCCAACCCCCCCACATGAGTAGGGATACCCCCCCTCTAGATCAGGTTGCTCAGAGCCCCATCTAATCCTATGAGGGAAAATATATTTTGCTTAATTTCATGCCATTGAACTTCTGGTCTTTGTTCTTCTGGAGTGGCAACAGAAGTGCATAGGGAAAGCATTTTTTTAGGGGTAAAATGAGATAACTGTGGCTGCTAAGAATAACATTTGAACTGGACATGTCATCAGATATTGTGTCAATGCAGATGACACTGGTGATCAGAAAATTGATGCAAATGAAAAGTAACATTTAAAATCAGCATCACTGCATATGCATTCTCCCTCAGCTTCTTCAGTGCATGTTTTTCCCTTTCTAAGCCTCCCTGCCTTCTCTTCTAATCTCATTTGGCTTATTTCCTTTCTCAGTGCTTCCAAACAACCACCACCCTGGGCAAACCTAAAGACTGCATGGACTGTGCTCAGTGCTGACTTGTGATTAATTTTGTCTTAGATGCAGGATGTGGAAATATCATTGTTCTTTGCCTAGTTAGGTAGTAGCTGATTGCAAACTGTTTGGGGCAGTTGTTAAGTGATTTACATTAATTGTTTCTGATAGGATGCACAACTTTCAGCCTTAAAAATGAGGTTCTTCCAAACATTACTTACTCTTGCCTGCAAAGTACAGCATGAAGTTTCTCAGTCGAGCTTTGCCCTGAAAGAAGTGTGTTGTTTATGCCTAGATTTGCAGAGGTCTTTGTAACAGCAACAGAGGCAGTCTGTAGAACAATCTTGTTTTAAAAAAAATAGAAAATAAAAGCCACACAACTTACCTCCTTGTGCACCCAGATAGACACTTCCCTTTCCTGAAGAGTACAGAATGGGAAATGAGTTAGTTCTAGATTTCAATCTGGTACAAACATTCTCTAGCAGATAATTGTACCTTTTGAATGTTTTATAATGTCTTTTATTTCCATGTTTAAGCTTTCTTTATAAACCCCTGTGTTTGTTAATCTGCCAGTAGCATCTGGTGGGTTGCACTGAGAGGGCTGTGGGTGTTCCCGAACCTGCCTTTCCTGACTGAAATCCTGTATATTTTGTTTTAGAGAGCAAAACACTATGCCAGTGCTGCCCTGCGGGAGCAGTGCCGGCCTTCTTACGTGAAGAAAGAAATGGGCAAGTTATTTGCAGAGAAATACAGCAAGGACATGTCTCCATTTGTAAAAAAAAATATAAATGAAGATGACGCTCTATTTAAATATGAACCTCCTTTTGGATTTCACAAGTTCTTTGATAAGCTGAAAGATCTCCTTGAACTCTTACCTGAACATGATTTACCAGAAGATTTGAAGTCGAAACACTGTAAGCGTTGTGTTGTTGTCGGCAGTGGTGGAATTCTTCATGGATCAGAGCTGGGTCACTTATTGAATCAGTTTGATATTGTTATAAGGTACGTATTTCTAATGTAAGGCTTCCAGCTACTTTTACTTGACTTTATGAGCCAATTTTGTTTTTTAAGGAGAAAGTATCTCCCAACATTTATGCAACTTGCAACGCTACTTGTGAAAGTGCTTTTGGAAAATTTACTTGTGACTTGATGGGATTTCTAGTTTTAGGAACAATTTAAATTGTCACGTTCACAAGACAGGAATTCAGTGCACTTAAATGACGTGTGGATTTCAGATACAAGGAAAACGTGGGCAGAAATGAGATGGAAAGCAGTGAAATCATAGACAAGTAGACAATCCTGGTTTTACCCATTTATATTTAAGCTTTCAGAGGTAGGTTCTAGGACTCACCTCAGCCTTTTTCCCCTTGGTTAAGTTGGAATGCGTGTTTGAAGGAGTTTTTTTTTTCATACCAGCTAGTTCAAATACAATAAAATTTAATTGGTGTTTCAATGTGCCATTTGTTTACACACTTTATAGCATGCTTGTCTTTCCTTATCTTTACAAGATCAGTGCATACTTTCTATGTTTACCCATGTTATCAATGTCTGAATTAGATGAATACATAACCTGTATTTGTGCCATCTGAACATTAATGTTTGAACTCTGCTTCTTCGTATTTTGAATTGCTTAAAGTCACAAATAAATTTAATACAAATATTTTCCCAAGTTGCTTCATAAACTAAGCCTTGTTCCACCTAAAAAAGGAAGACGTAATATAGTGAGAGAATATCTCTTATACAAAGGTAAACCAACCTGTTAGTACACGGAGGGGCAGAGAACTTGTGTTTAACTGTTCTCTGAAATTAGGGCTGGCAATGTGGAGGTGATGATATAGAAAAGTTTGTGGGACTTAGGCTGTTTTGCAGAACTGATGGAGCTGAATGGTGCTGTTCTTGATTACCTTTCTGTGTGTAATATTCGTGTGTGTATATATATATATATATATAAAGATAATACAGGCAACTTCCTGTGTGTTTTCTTTGCCTTCCTCTTGTAAGCCTCTCTGAGTTGGCACAAGGCAATGAATATGAAGTTCTGCAATGTTGTTTTAAGTTACTTTTCTAATCAAGCTTTTCTTTTTGAAGTTTTGCACTTGTGCCAGTTAATCCAGAAATAGAATTGGCTGCCTCTCAAAGATAAGGGATGGATGAGCGTGTGAGGCAAGGAACATGGAGATACTGAGAAAACACTGTCCTCTGCTCACATAGAAAAATGTGGGCCAAATACAAGTTCTTTGCTTAGTGTCTGATGATTTTATGAGATTGGAAGCCATGCTTACTAATACAGTTTTTCTCCATTGTGGGTTGTTTTTTTCCTTGTTAGGTTAAATGATGCACCAGTTCAAGGTTACACAGATCACGTTGGTAACAAAACTACTATAAGGATGACTTACCCAGAAGGAGCCCCCCTTTCTGAGCATGAGTATCCTCCTGCTAGCTTGTTTGTGGCTGTTTTGTTTAAAAGCGTTGATTTCAACTGGCTCCAAGCAATGGTGAAAAACGAAACCTTGGTATGTAATGTGGCACTGTTAGGTACCTGTGATTTTGCTATTTTTCTGTTTAGTGCGTAAGTAACTGATTTATCTGATCCTTCCTGGTTTATTATTCTGAGGCTCTTTTAATAACTGTGTTGTTTTTTGTTGTTTTTTTTTTGCCTATGTCTCCTGGTTACAGTTAGTAGCACAATTTACATTGAAGCCCCATGCTGACAGTAACACTTTTTTTCCTGCAGATGTTGGTGGTTTGCACTAAGCTACACAACATAATGAGTGTTTATGAAAGTGGAATTCATTTCACATTAGCTTTAAGGTCTGCAGATCCTGAAATAGAATCATAGAATCATTTTGGTTGGAAAAGATATTTATGATTGTCAAGTCCAGCTGTTAACCCAGCACTAAACCACGTCCCTCAGCACCACATCTACATGTCTTTTAAGTGCCTTCAGGGTTGGGGACTCCATCACTTCTCTGGGCCACCTGTTCAGTGCCTAACAACCCTTTCAGTGGAGAAATTGTTCCTAATAGCCAATCTAAACCTTCCCTGGCAAAACTTGAATCCATTTCCTGTTTTTCTATTGCTTGTAATAAAATTTGATATAGAAATGAGATCTCTGGATGCCAGTCTGTTTTTTTTAACAGCTGAAAGCTGTGCTGCTGCTGTAGGTACACACACAGTTAATGTGTAATTGAAGCATTGCAGTTGTTAGTTCACATTTGCCTGTGGATCCAAAATGAAGAGGCTGTTTATCTCTCACTGAATGTTTAAAGTGCAGAGATTCCTAAGGAACTGATAGAAGAATTCCATGTTTCCCAGCCCTCTTAAGTGGTTTTCACCTCTTTCGATATGCAGGCAGATAATTTGTGCAAGTTGAAAACCAGTAGCTAAATTTCTCTGACCACAGATTGGAAGCAAGTTCTCTAAATTATTAAGAGATTTAGAAGAAAGCCTGTTAAGATTGTTGACGGTTTGGTGCATGCTAGGTTAGGTACTCTGAATTCCCCTCTTAATTCTGTGATACTTAAAACACAAGAGCATATGGAGGGTCTGTTTAATATTGGCCATGACTGTCTATTGCTTTGTTTTGAATAATCTGAGTATGTTTTGTAGAGAGAAGATTTTTCCGAGTGGATGAATTTGCACAAATTTAAGAACCCTGCTCCCTGATTTAATTTATTTTTTTTTTTTACCAGGGACTAGACAATGTTGGTCTATAACCTTTCCTGCAGCAGTGTAGTAATTTTGATAACCAGCAGCTTCCTGACTTGAGTTGAATCCCTAACTTGTTTTACAAGCTATCTGTTTATATTTTAAAATTTAGTTTTGAAGAATGACTAGTACAAGGCTTTCTGTACTAAAATTTGGAGGGATTGAAAGAGTTGATTGCTTTTTGGCATCTGCAACGTCCTCTGGTAGCTGAGTTACAAAATTGAAGTATGTCCTTTATGAGAAGAGTACCTTTGTTTGTTTTGCATGACTTAGGAGCAGACCTGCTCATTCCTACCTTCTTCCTTGCTCTGATGTTTTTGCTGGTGCAGAGAACCAGTTTTGGGAACTGATCTGGGAATGGGCATACGGGAGAGAGTACACTGAAGGACTCAGAGCATGGGTGGGAGGATGGAACCATAGCAACCTAGATTGGACCAGTTCAAGCTTCTGTAGAGTTGTACCTTAAAGCCTATTTAAAAAAAATAATACAGGTCTATGTTGCAGCTATATCAGTTTTATTATTTGCTCAGTGTTACCCATTATATGGAAAGACAATGAACCTTGTCTAGTATTGTTTTTTCCATTAGCTTGCATTTAATTGACTGCAAGAGGCATGAGAGCAGAATCTAGCTCTGAGTCTTGTGTAAATCCTCTTCTGAAGTGTTACATTTGTCACTAGGTGGATACTGTCAAACAACAGCTGTTCACTTGAAAGCCTGAGCAAAATTGTTTTAAAACCAGTGCTTGCATCAGAATGCCTGCTTAATGTTTGTGGTTCCCTTTCCCATCTCTTAAATACAGCTGCTTGCTCAGTTGTGCTGGGGAAGGTCCAAAGAACCTTGTGGATTCTGGTGCATACATTGACTGCTTAAACACAAAATGCAATCAAATATTTAGAATAAACATCTTTCTCCCTGCTGTCCTCTAGGCAATTCCAAATACTTAGAATACTTCCTCTTTTAGGTCAGTCACTTGAGCTGTTCTCTGGTATTCCTGAACCTGCCTTAGCTGTAAAGCGTTTCCTGAATTTCTCAGAATCCCTGATGAATTCTGTAACTTGTGTACCGTCTGCCATACACTTTAGGGTCTCAGTTTCCCTTTGCTCAAGTGTTTTGTTGGTTTTTTTTCTTAGCCTATGTGGGTGCGACTCTTCTTTTGGAAGGAGGTTGCTGAGAAAATTCCTTTTACATCAAAGCAGTTTCGGATTCTGAATCCAGTCATCATCAAAGAGACAGCTTTGGACATTTTACAGTTCCCTGAACCCCGATCAAAATTCTGGGGTTGGGATAAGGTAAGAAGTTTCCTTTTAGGAGGAGACTATAACATACAAAGTAAAAAAAGAAACTGAAAAAAGTTTTGGATTTTTCCTTCAGTATGGTTTCTCTGTGATGTTTCGGAGCTGGTCTCAAGTAATAGGGAAAATAATAGGCCAGGACTCTTGCATTTTCTTGTGTAAAATCAAATTTCAGCTCACCTGTTTAGATGAGGTATTATACCTGTGCATGCTGACATGAAATAGCCTGTTTTACAAAGCATTTGCATGCAGTGAAACACAAATTCATTCTTGTAGAGTATGTTCACTCACACATCATTGTGACTGGTGTTAAGTATTCAAAGTTCAGCAAGCTCCTTTTTTTTTTCCCCCCTTTTTAGAATGTGCCTACAATTGGGGTCACAGCAGTTGTTCTGGCCACACATCTATGTGATGAAGTGAGCTTGGCAGGATTTGGATATGATCTTGATCAGCCCAGCGCACCTTTGCACTATTACAACAACCTCTGCATGGCTGCCATGAACGGACAAACGATGCACAATGTGACGAGCGAAAGGAAATTCCTGCAAAAACTGATCAAAGAAAAAATTGTCAAAGACCTCACTGGTGGGATACATTGTGAATTCTGTGGCAAAGACAGCTAGTGATTCCAGTGTGGCGTGGTTTGGATTTGTGAAATTTCCAGAGGTTCAGCTGGAACAACATTTTTCACTGTCTGAAGTAGTCCTTTAAAGTGCGTATAAAATGGACGTAGAATCTCTGCTGCCTTTTTTTAATGTCAAGTTCAATTTGTTGGACTTTGAGTTGGATGTCAGATTTTACTTTGCACATTTTTGTGGGTAACTATGTAAATGCAACGTGGAGTTGAATGAGGTCCATTGAAAATATTTAATGTTTTAAGTTGTCTGAAGAAAAGTGGAGATTTTGTTTCTGGGTGTATGTGGTACACACAACACCAGCCTGAGTTGTCTAACAGCATACAAGAGTTATTTTCCACTGAACTACTGTCTCTGTTGATCCAGTTCTTGGTGTGTGACTCCTTTTCATGCATGCCATGAAAAGAAAGGCTTATGCTTCTCAGGTCTTTCACTTCTTGTAACTCGAGTGTTGTGTTTCCCCCTCAAATGTTGATGTTCTTTTGGTTTTGTTCTTATATCCTTGGGGGGTGGAGGAGGAATGCGTGAGCAGAGGTGAAGGAAAAGGAACTGTTGTGGCAACAGCTGAACAGTAAGTACTTTGGTGTTCATGATTGATAGTAAAATAATTGATGCATTAATGTATTGGATTAGAATCCCGCTTTATCCTGAGGCAAGTTTGGACCCAGGGCACGTTATAGGAGAATTTAGCTAATAGGAGACTTTCACCTGCATCAGATCTTTTGTCATTTCTATTCCTTAAGACCCAGATGAATGTTTCTAACTAGTTGCAGCAGAGTTCAGATGCTCCAATTAAAGGAGTGGCATTTATACAAAATCTGCCCTCTTTCAATTTTTTTGAGTGACTTGAGAATTGCTGGTTCTATAAAACACTGGTTTGCATAGGTCTTTCATTTAGCAATAATAGAATCTATGCCTGGTTAAAACGTCCACTTTATGATCCTTAAGTAGTCAACTACAGATACTGTTAACCTTAATAGTTTACAATTATGATAACCCTTATGAACTCTAGTGTTGACTGTTTAATTGAAGGAAGAGGCAGAGTTGTTAGTTTTACTATATCAGCTTTGAAGTCAGCAATTAGTTGAGTGTGTGTAAGTTAAGAAGAAAATCACTGAGAAAAGGAGTATGATCTAGTAGCAAGCTAGGTAACTGCTGAAAGCAGCATACTTTGAAAAAATAGCTATAGATACATGTTCTTGTGACTGGAAATCAGTGCATTGCAAAGAAACTGGACTGTGCAGATCTGCAAGCAGGTTTTTGTGTTAATTTTCATTCTGTCAGTAGCAGGCCAGCAGGTATGACTGTGTTTGCACTGAGTGGGGTTTTACTCCATCCATAGGATGTGCAAAAAGCTTTTTTTGGGAATGAAAGTTTGATAGCAAATCGATCAAAGATTGGCCTAGGAACATTGTTCATGAACTCTCCATGTGTTGAACATTCCCACTTTTTTTTTTTGTTATGGGCTAAGATATGAATGTACTTGTAGTTTTACACTTTCAAAATACTAATGCGGGAAAGCAAGATTAGGGTGGTTGGGTGTGTTTTGTTTTGTTTAGGGGTTTATGTTGTTCCTGTTTTTTTGTCTGTTTTGTTGTTTGTTTTTTTCTCCCCATGGAGAGAAGTTCTAATGAATGATAATGTTAGAATGCAGGAACAGCAGACAGATTCTGGCCATTATACTAAAAGGCAATAAAATGACATCAGATCACAAAGCATAACTCTGAAGGAAGTTGTGGACTTCATCTTTTGTAAGTCACATGCACCTACATGTCCTTGAAAGCCAATTTCTGGATGATCAATTTGAAAATCAGATTCTTGTCTGTGGCACTGCTTGTGTTTATAGCAATAATACTAACGTAACTTCTACTCCTCCATGAAACACGTTAATTTTTGTACTAGCAATAAATTTCTAGTCTTTTTCTTGTAAGTATAATAATTATATTGTTTAATTTAAAAATATTTGTGAAGAGTTTTATACAGATAGTATTTTAGTTAATATATTAAAATGTGTTAATTATTTTCTCCTGGTATTTAAACTGGAAGCAAACTACCTTAATTTCATTTGGTATTAGTGAAATTTTGGAAAATATCAGAACGTGTGTTGGGAGGACATCCTGAATACACCAAAAGTACATGTTTCAGAGCACTTGGTCCTTCACCAGTTTGCTTTACTCAATAACTTAATCAGTTGATTAACGTTAAGTGCCAATAGCTTTTTGGAGATGCTGTATGTATTGTTAAATTATCAAATTATGTTGATATAGGATTAGTTTTGTTTTCCCAGCAGTTTTATGGCTTGTGATAAAACCTTGTTCTCCATGGTAGTGTGTACTGCTTTGAATAAGCCTGCACAGACTCAACCATCCGTGAAATGGCAGCAAAGTTCAGGTTGCAAAAAGCAATAAACTGATGAAACCACTTTCTACCTATGTATTTGTCTCACAGTTTGCAGTTTGTTCTCCTTTATTAAAGATTTTGCATGTCTTACTACTCCAGTTGAAAATCTTGATGCAATCTCTGGCACTCAAGAAGAGTTTAGTGGCTGATAACTCTTTCTCCTTTAATTTATGCCTTTTTTTAAAATACCTGTCAGTGGTGTTATATCTCTCTGGTGCTTGAAAGAGAGAATCCATCACAAGAGATGGATGAGAATATTTCAGCCTGAGTTGTAGCACTGCCTTACACCCAAGGGTGTGTCTCCTTCAGTGATGGAGAAAAGCTGCAGGTTCTGGGCTGTGCTTCAGTCTTGTTGGGGGTGAGGTAAGGACAAAGAGCTGTGTGTGTGTGTCTCCATCTTGCTGTGTCCCAGATGTTACACTTTGCCAAAGAATCTGCATCATCATTTGTGGATATGCCTTAATGGTGTGTGTTGAAAAACCCAACAAAGGCTTTGGGAGCTGTGATGAAGCCATTGTGTTCCACTCTTCTCTGCGAAGGAGCTGTCACAATTATCTGTGTGTCTGACCTGTTCTGATGCTGATTCCTGTGCAGGGAACATAGCTTCCACTTTGTCCTCCCTTGAATTTAGAGTGGTAAAGTATTTGCATTATCTATCATGCATTATTCTTTTCAGTGAGATAAATAGAAATTCTCTGTTATGGCTGAACAATTCTGAAACTCTTTGAAGATGTAGATAATTTGTGAAGCTGCTTTTTAATTCTTTCAGTGCCTTCAGATTCATATGGCCACTCAGGGAGCAGCAAAAGACATGAACAGCATACTGATTTTTGCTAGATCCCATTTGATCAAACACATGGGAGCTTTGATTTTCCACGTGTGACTTGATGGTGCTGTTTTTCAAGTGTTTTTAGGGGTCCTGCACTCAGCTGGTTTTTCTTCAGCTGGAGACAAACCAGTGTCACCTTGGAAAAGTACCCTGTGTAAAGGTCACGATTTATATCTTAAAATACCAGGAACGTGGCACAACGAAGTTGCAGGAGGAGACACACAAAGACACTTGGGTGCAGAGTGGGCACGTACCTGCAGATTTTGTTAATCTCTTCAACTACCTGCCTGTTCCAGCTGATCTACCCTTTTCTTGCTCAAGCACTTGTGCATCAGCTCATTGTGGTTTAACAAAAAGGCCTTGTGACTGATTCATCTTCTCATACTTGTTAACACTTGCATTTTCCAGCCAGTGAACTGGGATTAATGCTGCTCCTGCTTTGAGGGTTGAATGTAGGCGTTTTACTTACCCTTTGGGGTCATCTGCCTTGTCATTTGATTTCACAGCCTGCTTCTCTTGTTCTCAGGCCAAAACCAACTTGTTTCCAAGCTCCTACATATGCCTTTGGGGACAACAGTGCTTTCTAGTTCAGAACAGCCAGTCCTGCTCCCTCCTTGTGGGCAGAGAGGAGCCCTGACCTTTAGAAAGAGGTGCTCCCAGTTGCATGGGATTGCTTCAGCACTGATTGGATGCTGGAGCTGCTTTTTGGAAGGGGATCTGTCAACAGGAACATTATGGACAAGTTGCAGAAAAACAAACTTCCACCCACTCCATCTTTCTGACAAAGGAAAACTAGAAATTCAGGCAGATGCTGCAGTGTAAGCATTGCATGCTTCCTCCTCAGCTGTCTTTTCCTTCTTACTATAGCTGAAATAATGATTCTGTAGCTCAGAAATCTTGAGCCCCACCTTGGGACTTCGTATGTAAGCCAGTCCTGAGAGGGAAGCAGAAATAAGGTTCCTTGCATTTTTCTCCCTTTCTCCAGCCTGTTTCTGCCTGATCTGCACTTTAGAGGAAAAACAAACAAACAAAAAAGCAGCACATTTTTCACAAGCTGGAGTTATTTACCCAGGCTGAGTTAAGGATGAGAGGATGTTAGGACGTGGTGTAGCTGATAGAGAAGCTGTGGAGAAGGTTTTCCTCTGCAAGAGCTGAATTATTGCTCATATCTTGCATCCATTTGGTTCTGCCTGCTTTATTTTAGGCTATCAATGTTTTATTTTCTTAAGTGATGTTTTCTTTCTTTGTCAGTTTGTGTACTCCTGTGTGCCACACTGGGCTATGGTGTCTCATCCCTTCTTGAGGCTGACCAGCTGGAGAAGTTCAGGTGGAAACTGTGTGCCCAAGTGCTGTGAAGGCATTTGCTGTGGAGTTAAGAGCCTGTGGCAGAGACCTGAGAAAAGAGACCTGGGATACAGTGGGGAGGAGGTTTGAGACAAGCAGGCCTGGAGGGGAATGAAGCCAGGACCTTGGTGATGAGCTGGAGGAGGCAGAAAGATACCCATATCTCACTTGAACATCCAAGTGCAGCCTTAGGAAAGCCTCTGCAGCAGGACAGTGGTTGCCAGGGTCTACCCTCTGCAGCACAGCAGCCCTCAGTCTTTCATGCTGCTTTAACAGAAAAGACCACAAAATAGCTCAGCAAAATTTTTTGGCCTACTTCACCTTTCCACTGAGGAGAGCAGATGCTCCTGAGCAGCAGCTGGTGAGATTTGTCAGTGCCTGGCATCGCTGTACCTGCAAGAAAAGATCAGGACTTGGGTCAGTTTTATGACCTCTCTGTGTTGCTTTGTCAGGGGAGAAGTTTGCAGGTTGTTGACG